TGCCATCCCCTTCTCCTTTTGCCTTCAATCTTCCCCAGCATCAGGGTCTTTTCCAAAGAGTTAACTTCCAAAGAGTTAAACTAAGTTAGACTTCCCCAACTTGGGCACCCTCCAGGTGCACAGATTTCAATTCCCAAAATTCACTTAGTATGGCTGTTATTTAGTGTTTTGATGGCTGCAGTGCACAAATCTGGAAGTTCCCTATGTTGGGGAAGAATAGTCTTTATTAGCAATCAGGAGCTCTGAAGACAGAGTTTTTTAAGGTTCAATTTTTATTGTGCTGCGTTGGGATATAAAAATTTGCATCTGCTAAACTTTTCTCCATTCCAGATTAAAGTTTACATTATTTGAAGACCATACTTTGAAAATCACGAATACACCTACCATAAATGCTTTTTGGAGTTATTGAGAGGTTTTGCCATGTACTTAGAGAGAGGCATAGTTAGAAAGTTCCTATTACACATGTGGCCAGTAATAATAGCTAACTGCTTTGGGGAAAAAGAGATGTATGCATTTATGCATTTATTTTTAACTCAGTTTTACACATTTGAATATAGCACTTCACCTTGTTTGGAGCTCAGCATAGTGTATAGTTTAATTTTTTTCACAATAAAAATAAGAAATCAGTTAAGTATACAATAAAAGCCTTAGTGCTACAAGAAATTGTAGATTAAAATGATTTGGGAAAGATACTTTTACAAAATTAAAGAGATTGTAATGAAGGCATTGGGCAGGCCTCTTTGAATGTGTTCTGTAGTCAGGAATAGCAGCTGAAAAAGCTCTCTATTTGGCAAAAACAGATCACCCAAAAAAGAGCATTCTAACAAACATCTTGCACTGTGTGCAGTTCAAAGTCTGGCCAAAAGAACTTCTGAAACAGCTTACTCTTAGTTTAATATCATCATGTGTTGAATCCCAGCTGCCTTCTCCTGTCAATTTATTGAAGGGAAACTGTATTTCTTCCCTTCTGGCAGATAATTGCTAAACGAGGGAGTGATTACATCCTGAAGCATGCGCCAGAGATGCACCGAGAACAGAAAGGGTTGTCAACCAGAGAAGCAATTCTGAAGTACGTCAAGGAGTCGTGCCTGCTGGAAGACGTCCCTGTCCATTTCTACAGATTGCAAAAGGTGGTACAAGAAGCCTTCTTTCAAGCTTTAGAATATTTTGCTGGCCAATAGATGTCTTGTTTGAGTTCCTGTCCCAGATGTATTTTGAAAGAACTGTAGTTGTCAGACTGTGATTCAGTAGCAGGGGTTGGCACCTCTCTAGAGTAGCCAATATGGAAAGTCTGCTTTTGTCAACCTTCTGTCTTCATCTAGTCCCATATTTTCCTTCCCTTTTAAAATGTTCATGGATTTTGCCTGATGCAAGCTGAAAGAGCTAAAATGTGGCAAGATCTAACATGTGTCATGCAACAGGTTGAAAATTGGTTGCTTTAATACCTGAATTCCTGCTTGACTTGAAATACTGGAGTGAATGATTATGAGTGTATATGCGCTCCTTCCCCCTCCCTCTCCCATATGCTGATGGCTAGGCATACTATATTTATTTCTCTTTCACTATTGCTTTCGATGGTGGTGGTGATGATGAAGAAAGATGAATCACTGTTAATGAAGCAGGCATAGATTTCAATATAGGGTTTCAAAACAACATTGTTAAACTACTGGTACCTTCACAGAAAGCTATTTCATAACCAGTGTAATTAGGTAAAAAGAGAAATCTGGAATTACTACTGAGTTGCACCAGTCAAAACCTAATCCTTAAACTATTAATTCCCTAATTCGTAGCTCCTGTTGGCATGGGTGGATGCTGCCTAGCGATGAAACCAAGGTAGATAACAAAAGACCTCCATGCATCCTGCCGAGTGCCTTTCTCAGAGATCTTGTGATGGTCTTAGCTAACCCTTTGGAGCTTGACCTGCCAGCTCATTGCCTGCAACCTGTGTTTGCTAGAAAATATTCTTCTTGTTTGGTGGTCTTCCACCATAAGAATCTTTATCAGTCCTGAAATGATCTGAACAGTTTGAAGAGGCTTAGTGCAAGTGACCCTTTAGGCAGAAAAGTAGTGAGAGATGAGGGCAGTTTTATGGTGCTTCCACTTCAAGTTGTTCAGTGCTACAAAGAAGTTTTTAATATTGCTGGATGGGAATTCTGAGTGAAAGGGCTTTTCTTAATGCTTGTTTTCCCTGCAGAAAAAGCATTTTCTGCAAGCATCCAGAAAAGAATAAAGCATGCAGCAACATTAGTACCTTTTGACTGGTTGATTCTAAAGGAATAAACTTTAAAACAAAAAAACAATGACATGTCCAGTTCAATTGACCTGAATTCCCAAATGCTATTCCAAAAAGTCTTGTAATATCACCTGAAAGTGGTCAAGGGAACCATTCTTCAGTTCAGGACCAGCAACTGGACTTGACTTGTGTTCACATGGGCTGCATTCGCAGAGTGCATATCACAGGTATTGAATCACAAATTAACCTGTTTGTGTGACATGGTAAGCCATAAAACAGCTAACGCTACTCCAGCTTAGCGTACATGACATGTGTGCAAATGCAGCTGCTGGGTCTTTTCCTGACTTGGTTGAGAGTGTTGAATGAATGCAACCACAGGGATGGAACTCACACAAGGTAGACCTTAACAGGAAGCAGGGAGAAGAGTGACAATGGAGCAGACACACTGAGATCATTGTTGCCATAGGAATGCAGCTTCAGCTTGGAAGCAACTTTAAAGATTAAAAGCAGAAGCTTGAGCAGTGCTTGTAAACTTCCCTCTAGCACATGCAGTCACTCCCAGTTTGGTTCAACATGCTCCCACATGTCTACATCTTCTGGAGGCAGGGTGCTAAAACCTTCTGAGTCTTCAAGGTCAGCGCCTTACATAGTACATTTCAGTTATTCATTTGAGAGGTTACCAAAGTATGGATGAACATAATAAAATCTCTCTTTCATAGGAGGGTGTTGCTTATGCAGGAGAAATGTTGCTGGTGAAAGATAACCTTGGCTGTAGCTCTTGCCTGCAGTAGTATCAGGTTGAGAATCACTGCAGGCTATGGCTCTCTTTTGGCGGATAATAGCATCCTCGCTAATCCTCAGGGAAGTGAATATGTAGAATTCCTTGTCATGTTGAATCCCTCTTTCTTCCCAGGACAAGAAGGAGGATCGCCCTACAATCATCCTTGGTTTAACACTTAAAGGGATACACATCTATCAGGTAAGAACTTCCATAGCATTTGAATGCAGATATTCCTTCAGTTATATAAGACCTGACTTAAGTAAGCTTGACTTTATTCCATTGGTCACATTTAAAATTTTCAGGCACATAAAAATTAGTATTATGTGTGCAATGCATAGCATCAGGCCAGAGATAGGAAGTTGGTCCAATGCCAACAGACACAAGGCTTTTCAGAACAGAACTGTTATGTGTGTTGGAACATTCTTGTATTCAGAAACGAGTCACATTAATTTCAGTTCAGTTCCTGGGAAATTAGTGTAGAATTTCAACCATAATACAGCATTAGCATTAATTCTGCTGCACATTCACAGGCACTCATGTTACTCTCCTCTTCATTATTGGGGTTGTGGGAGAGAGTGGTTTATTGTTGTTTTTAAGATTTGGACATTTTTAACAGTATTTGGAGTTTTATCACTTTTGTTTGTTTGAATATTTAACTGAAAACAAGATTCTGACTCTCTTTTGAGTATTTTTACATTTTTTTCTTGCCTCAGGAGCAGGTTGAGTTTTGCCTTTATAAATATATGCAGTTTTATGAAAAATGTTGTATTTGCTAATCTGTTTGAATGTCAAAGGCCTTAGATATCTAAGACAAGAATGATTCTTTATAAAATAAAATAAATTAAAACCCAAAATAATTTTTTTTACAAGAAACTAATTCTTTTTCATGAAAAGTTCTTGGGGAAGAATTGGATAGCTCAGATATACTGCATGTTTTAATTTGAAATTGGTGTAGGATGTGGCTATTTTGATCAGTGTCTTCAGATCTCTTAGTAGAATATAGAATATCTGTTGATAATCTTTTTTAAATCTTGGTGATTAAATGTTTGATTAATTTTATTAATCATTATTGTCCAATAAAAGATAAACCAGAAGTTTTCTATAGATGTTTTGCTTATCTGTTTCACAAAAGTGGACTATGTGATACTAGCTGGAGATTTTAATTAGGACTGACCATAATTAATTAGGTTTTAATTTTTGATCTGACATTAGCTTATGGTACTACTCCAAAAAATTTTTGTTACATAGTTGGAATGTATTTCAAAGTTACATATTTGAATTTAATTTGATGGATATATGACAATCCTTGAATTCAACAAAGTGAAAGTAAGCTTTTTTTCAACCCCATATTAGACTTGTTCTTGACTGGATTATTTTTGAGTATCTTTATCCTTAGTAGATCAGGTAAACAATTATACAATATGTTATATCTGACCATGCTGTGGTAATATCACTGAAGGATAAGAATACCCATTTTAATGTATTGCCATTAAAAGATTTAAATTTTCTTGATCAGTTGGAAAAGGACTGTGAGATGAACTTTTCACATAAATAGACAATCAGCAAATGTGATGATTATGTTGAATACTTTCAAAACATATATTCAGGGTTGAATTATTATACATGCATCTTGTAAGAAAAGAACAAAAGAATTTGAGCCAAGTACCCTGGAAAAGAAAGTCAAAGAACTTTTGAATAGTTATATGAAAAAATCCTGCCTTGGAATTATGTAATGCCTCTGTATCTGCTGAAATGACTGTTTGTATGCCCTAGACACTGAATACTCATTAAACCACATTAGGCAAAATTATTGGGAACCTATAACTTCTAAACTGAAATAACACAACAGTATAATATTATTTCTATACAATAAAAATTAGAGAAGTGGTGATTTAGTAAATCCAAATCATTATATGTATTTATTCTATGAATCTTAAATACATATAATGATTTGGATTTACTAAATCACCTCTAATTTTTATACAGTACTCAGCTTTATAAGGTTGAGTTGAGGGTTTCCAATGAACAAGCTGTTTTTTTAAGTAAAATACATTTCCCAAAGATGTTCTAAGATCATTGGGTTGACTTAGGTGCACCATTGACATTACAATAAATTATAAATATTATTAAACCTATGAAAACAGGAAAGGTCCCAGGTCCAGATGGATTTCTAATAGAACAATAAATGTTATTTATGGAAATTTTGGCTTCAATATTGTTGACAGTATATAATGAAGTTAATTAATTTATTTATACATCACATTTATATAGCCACCCATCTCACACAAGTGACTCTGGGCAGCATACAACAATTAAAAGAAATTAACAAGTGAATAAAAACAGGCATTATAAAAAGATAAAAAAATATTATTAGAATAAAAGCATTATCACACATTTTTAAAAAAATAGATTTTAAAATATACAAACCCCGTGGAGAGAGCAGAATATCAATTACAGTGGAGCCATCTAAGAAAGTGTCCAATACCCAAAGACCCCCAGGCCTGATGACACAACCAGGTCTTGAGGGACTTCCTAAATGACGGGAGGAAAGAGCCTCACTTCCGGGAGGAGAATTTTTTATTTTTTATTTTTAATTTTTTTTAATTTAAATTTTTGTCCCCTAATTTTTTTTAGGAAAAAGTTAGTGTGACAGGAACATTTCTTTCCTCATTTTACTGAGGCTTACATTCTGATTTTCATATTAACATCAGGTAAAGACCTGATATTCAATGTTCTTGTTAAAACCTTGACAACTTTAGCATGGAGATTTCAGAATATACAGTATTTCCTTCCATAGTTCATCCTGCACAATCCAGCTTTATAAAAGGAAGGCAAACCTCCAATAATACTAAACTATTAGTAGATAATTTTAGAAATTCAATGTAAGAATTTCATTGTGGCAGGTTCTTTAGATGCAGAAAAAGCCTTTAGTACTGCACAGATCAAATTTTTGGAACATGTTTGGGAAAAAAATGGATTCTCATGTGTTTAATATTATTGTAGGAAGTAAACCATGTTCGCCAACTGCTTTATGATTTCCCCTGGTCATATATTGGAAAAGTTGCATTTTTGGTAAGTGTTAAACCTGACTTCTTAAGCCTATTTTTAGTTTAAATCATACCATTTCTTAAAAACTTGAAACAGATAAATATAAATTAAATACAAAATGTGTTTGTATGTATATGTATGAATCTGTATGTGTGTGTGTGTGTGCTTATTCTAGAGCAGAAATAGATAAAATGTAATTTAAGCTGTAGTCCTCTTGCAGTCCTTTATTCATGTACCTGGAATGAATTCAGGTGAATTAAATAGGCTTCTGCATAGAATTGTACTAGTAGTATATTAAAATAAAGTAAATTGCAGTAGCAATGCCAAAAAAGGGCAGTGAGAAGGAGGGAAAAAAATGCACACACATGTTGGTGGAAATGAAAATGGTCCCAGTCTTTGGATAGAGCTAACAGACTTTTCATATAACATAGAGCACAGATCCTTCAATCTGGCAGCTAACCCATTTCCTCCTCCATCCCATGTGCTGGATAACCTAGGACATGCTGGCTGGGGAATTCTGGGAGTTGAAGTCCACTCATCTTAAAGTGGCCAAGTTTGGACAACACTGACCTAGGAATTAGTAAGATAGTGGGCCCACTCCAGCAAGAGCCAATCCCATGAGCCCTCCATGCTCCCCAGATGTGCCCAGAATTGAACTCCATGTTCCCCTTATAGAGACCCTCCTGGTTTCCAGGAAATGGATCTAACCATGCTTTGGAAAAGAGGTGGTAACAAAAGCATAACTTGCTGTAAGTCCCCTCTAAAATACTGCTATGAGGAAGACAAAAATTCTGAGTGCCAGAAACATGGTATGCCCGTTGGTAAAATTTCTTTTCCAGCTCTGGCAAAAGTATGATGATACATGTCCATAGCAAAGGCAACTGATCAAAAAGAGAAAGGGTGGGAAAGACCAGTCATGACTTCCTTACAGTGGTGCATCTCCTTTACACTCATGCATAGGAGGCTGACCACCTTCTGACAATCCCTCTAGCTTCCACATCACCATATGCAACTGCCTGATCCCCTCCAGGTCTCTAGGTGCACATGAGCTGTAAGAAACCCAGTTGCTGCCTCTGACCACACAGGTTATGGCTAGTATGGAGTCGCTGAAGGAAACCGTATAAAGGAACCTGTGCTTGTGTGAAGTGCAGATGTATTCTTTGCCCCTGGAAAATGCTTGAATTTAGCAAAATTTCCCAGAAAAGAGTACAAAGATATAGCCCCAACCTGTCAAAGTCTCTTTACCTGCTTGCGTGCCAGTATGCTGCTTTTGCAGCTGAGAGAAGCTTGGATCTTAAAAGATCTTGAGAGCTGAAGAAGACAGCCTCTGAAGATGTTGGGACCAGAATGATAAGCTTGCTGATAATTCAACAGGAAAAGTTGTACTTGAACATCCATAGAGGACTAGAGGGAAAATTACTTTTATTCATCATAGTAAAGCCCCTTTTTGCGCACACCTTGCATAACTCATTCCAATGTCCTTCAAAGGCCTCACATTTTTCCTTCCTCCCCTCTCTTGCCCCCCCCCTTTTTTTTAATTTAGGGGAAAAAATTTGTGATCCAGCCAGATGGTTTGCCTTCTGCCCGTAAATTGGTTTACTATACAGGCTGCCCCTTCCGATCTCGGCATTTGCTACAACTGCTCAGCAACAGTCACCGGTTGTTTCTTAACATCCAGCCCATACTCAAACAGATCCAGATGCTGGAAGATGCAGAAGGTACGTGAAAATGATACTGCCAGCAAGGATTTTTAAAAAATGAAAGCCCTGATTCCTTTGCTTGCTTGCTTGCTTGAATATGTAAAAATTTATCAGCTAAGCCAGATACTCAGTTTGAGCCGGTCGAGGCAGGCAGGAGCAGCATCAATGGCTGGCAGTGTTAGGCACCTGCCAAAGATTGTAGTCTATCAATAGACTACCAGCCAAGCCCCTCTAACCACTGCTGATCATTGTTACTCTTGCTGGTTTGCTTGTCTTTGGACCCAAAGGAAAAAAAAAGGCAGATGAGCAGGTGCTAATGGTGATGAAAGAGGAGAAAGTATTCCATCTCCGTTTCTCATTTTATTCATTCATTCATTATTTAATTCATTTAACTGAGCTAATGGGCCCCTCCAGTTATTACTAACGCTGAGCAGCTTAGGTACCCAACATCCATAAATCAGATCAAAACAGACAATTACACCTAATAAAATACAGTTTCCATCTCTAGACTGAGAAACATAATGTTGCATTACACAAATATCCTGCTGCAAGAAGGGACAGCCCCAACTTCATATGTGGAGGGCATACAGCAGTTGAGGTGGCCCCTATGGATGACTTCCCTGAGCAATGGGACCCCAGGAGAGCCAATCCTCCCTGATCTTACTGGATAGGCAGACCTAATTGGGAGTAGGTGGTCTCAAAACAGATATGTACTCCAGCTTAGGGCTATAATACATTCAGTGGACATTCACATTATAAAAACTACCCAAAAATTCACATTCTGCATTCAGAATAAATGCTGCATATTAGTAGGATGGGATGCATTCACACCTTTTCCAATTTATTTTTTCTCTATAAATGTATCCATTCTTTATTAATCCCAATGAGTTGAATAACTCTGCATAATTTCTGTGCAAAAGAGGTATGGTTGAATGAAGAGCAAAGAAAAATGCTACCTGGGACAACACTGGGACAGAAGTGGATCAGAAATGCTATATATGATACCTGTATGAGATAGTGCTTTTTAAAAAATGTATTCTTGGTTGCTAGGTTTTGTTTCTCCTTTTCCTGTTACATTTTTTGCACCTTGTGGGTGTAATTTTCCTGTGTTATTAATTTAACTTTAATTGTTATGTTTATTTCTTTTTCATACTCTTCTCTACCTCCCCCTCCACTCTTCCAGAGAAGAAGAGGTATCGGGAATCCTACATCAGTGATACTTTGGAAATAGATCTTGATCCATCAGATAAGCATTGGCGTGACAGTGGAAGCAGCAGAGGAAGTGAGAGTAACAACCGCCTATCTCGACAGTCCACTGACAGCCATGGCAGTTCACACACCTCTGGCATTGAGGCTGACTCAAGACAACAGATATCCATGGAGATGTCTGTGGATGAACCCTTTGGGATGGATCCAGTTCATCAGAAGGAGCAGTCCTACAGTTCAAACATCAGTTATAGTAGCTCTGGAATCGATAGCAGCAGCAAAGAGAAAGCAGAAAATGACTTGCAGGATGATGGTAAGATGTGGAAGGAACAGGATCACTAGCAGTGATTTTGTCTCCAAGACAAGATGAAAAGAGCAGTAAATGGTTGGTGGATGGGTTTAGAAAAAGGCAGCATTAATGCTAACTGTGCTCATATCATGTCCAGAAGTAGAATTGGTAGTGGATGAACCAGACAATGTACCTGTGGACGAACCTCATTTTGAAGAAGTGATCCATGGGGAGTCTATTGATTCTCAGTCAAAAGATGATATTTGGTGCCAAGGTAGGATGGCATTTGCACAATTCTTCTTAATGTTTCAGTGTTGCCTCCTATTAGTTAAATTTTGATATTCCCTAACCTTTTAGTTAAAACAACCTTGGTTAACATTATTTAGATGAAATTAATTTTACATAACAAACTCCAGTTCTATAGTTTTACTGAACTGAAAAGATTTGTATATATGGGCTGAAGAAAAACAAATACGGGTAGTTTATTTGGTCATTGTGGATTAAGAAAGGAGCAAGGCCAGGAGTTTGTGGAAGTTCGGTATAATTGTAAGCCCAGTAATTTCTCTAAATTGATAAATGAAGCATTAGTAATATTCAACACCTTTTACAGATCATATTCTGTGCAGCAGAGTGAGCTAGAAACTTTAAGTCAGTTTGAATATATAATGTCTATTACCTTCTCTCTAATTTACTTTAAACATTGTTATTAAGTACTTATGTACATTTGTCTGTGATAGCCATAGTGTACTAAATAGCCATAGGACTGGATGTGGGAACTGGTGGGCAGCATACCATTATGACTGGTCAGTAGATATAAAAGATCAACTTTATTAGGGGAAAAAAGCATTTTGTTTTTGGTCTGGGTGAAAAAAGCAGAAAGACATTTTAACATCCCTTATCTTCAAGGAATAATCAAAAACGAAGGGATTCATATTATCAGAGGTTTTGTCTTTTGGCCTGAAGTTCCTTAAAGAGATACAAAGTCTAATCTGTATGTAGGTATAGCTTTTGCATTTGCACCTAATGCGAAGAGAGGACTCTTTGGAGAAGACCCTGATGCTGGGAAA